TATTCCACCCGACGAATTCTACGTCTTAGCCTGAATTTTGAAACCAATGGCTTAGTCACATCAATCTCAATGCACATTCTAGCAAACTGACCCCAACTAACCAAGCTCGTATTCTTGTCCACCTTAATAGGAGTGCCAAGCTTAGCTCCAACCCGCATCAAGAACTCTTAGGCATATTATTCTATTGGAAGACATGGAAAAGGAACCCAAACAGTGACTTGTTCCAGACTGCCATAAACGGATCGAAATTTGCATACCACCATCAAACCAAGAGATAGTGATCAGCGATCATCCAAGGGCCCATACAAGGCATGTTTATAATCAGTAGAGCTATTAAATTTAATAAGCAAGTAGTTATTCTCAAGAGCAATAATGTCAATGGTTGAAACAGGTCTCCACAATTCAGTGATATGTTTGGACAAATAATTATAACCAATCGATTTACCCAATAACTTAACAATAAGAGAAAATCTCCAAGGCCTCATGAGCCTACATTTATCCTCCCTCGAAACCCAAATGATTGGATAGTTGACATCCTCATCATCAGATGAATCTGAATTATCTCCATCAGAACTATCAGAATCCGAGATCGACCCCTCCCCCATTTTCTTAACTAGAATTGCCTCCTTAAGTAAAGTATCTTTAAAAGATTGGTTAAGTCGAGCACTAGGTCCCCTCCGGGAATTCTCCCCCCTTGTGACGTACCTATGTTCCCTAAAATCTCTTTCCTTTGTTTACGATTACTCCAATGAAGTGAATCCCCCTCTTCAAACGTGTGGTTATCAACGAGGGGAGAGCTCGTAGGAGGAACGAGAGCCATTTCAGTTTTAGATATATAGTGCCCTACCATTCTCTTTTGTTTTTATTGGTGAGTTTATTTATTATTTTGCTTTTTTCCACTAATTTAATTTTTATGGATTAGTTTTAAATTACTATTTATTATTATAATTTATTATCCTTACAATGAATGAAATTACTTATTATTATTACTATAAATAACTAATATTTGAAATTAATTAGAAATTTAGATATTAAGAAAAGGAAATTATTTTTCTTTGATAAGTGGCTAATTCTGTAACGCCCCATTTTTCTGAATAAGAAAATGAAATGAAATTGCTATTATAAAAATAAAAAAAATTTACTTATGAAACTGGTGACTACTCAGTTACTTCTAATTATAAATTTTAGTTTTATGATTTATATGTTAAGTTAAGACGGTGTCTCCGGCACCGAGATGCCTTGCATCATCAGATAATCTGAATTATCTCCATCCAGAAACTAGTCAAGAGATCCGAGATCGGATGGCCCCTCCAACCATTTTTCTTAACTAGAGAAGTATGCCTCTTAAATGTAATAGTAATTCTTTCAAAAAGATTGAGGGTTAAGTCGGAGGCACTAGGTCCCCTCCCGGGAATAAATCTCGCCCCCATTGTGGAACGTACCCTCATGTTCCCTAAAATCGTCGTTTCCTTTGTTTCAGACGATTACTCAATGAAAGTGGAATTCCCCTCTTTCAAACGCGTTGGCCATTACTCACGAGGGAGAGCTTCGTAGGGAGAGCAACGAGAGGCCCATTTCCAATTTGTAGATCATATATCGGTGGCGGCTACCACTCTGCTTTTGTTTTTATCTGGGTGGGAGTTTATTGTAATTTGATTTTGCTGTTTTCCACAATGTAACTTTTTATGATTAGCTTTTAAAAGTAACTTAGTATTATATATAGATTTATTATCCTTACCAATGGAATGAAGATTACTCCATCTCTCTCAATTTACCTGAATAAATAACCTAATGATGTTGAAATTAATTAGAAATTTAGATACTTAAGAAAGGAAAATAAATTTGTTCCTTTGATAAGTGGCTAATTCTGTAAACGCCCCATTTTGTTCTGAATAAGAAAATGAAGATGAAACTTTGGCTATTATAAAAATAAAAAAAATTTTACTTATGAAACTGGTGACTACTCAGTACTTCTAATAATAAATTTTTATGTATTTATGATTTATATGTTAAGTTATGTTAAGTTAAGACGGTGTCTCCGGCACCGAATGTGGCATCCGCCGTCGGGTCTCTCGGGACTGGGCGGCGGGTGTTACAAATTCAACATGATGTGTTCTCTATTTTGATTATTAATATAGGATATTTTCATTTTAAAATGAGAACTTTTACTTTATTTTCATAATTTTCTTCGGTCATGCTAAAATCTTTGGAAAAAAAAAGCTTTTTGGGACCAATTCTTCAAGTTTTGGAGAAATGTGCTGAGTTAGGGTTAAAGTCCAAGAAACTGCTAAAACCTCATGGAAGTTGACAATTTAGCCTTGGGCAAGGCTAGGGGAGGCGCGTCCCGGGTAGATCGGGATTAAAACATTCACTAGCTAGGACTGCTTTAAGCTTACTCCAGAAAGACTTTTAAAGTAACTAGACTACTAATTAAGATAGGAACATACTTAGATTCATAATTGTTTAGTTGAGTTGATTGAAGTAGCAATTAAATAATCTAATTGTAACTAGGGCTTTTGGATTATATTATGAAAATTCACAATCCGGTTTAAATAAACCTCGCTTGTAGAGTTTATTAATTAGGACAATGGATTTCTAGTTTTTATTGCTATTAGCAAATTAAATTCTATCGCTTGTTTACTGTTGTTAGCTAGTAGAGATTATTCATAGCGTTTGTCTTTTTTAATCTAATAATTGATCGGCGACGCTTGTTCAAAGATTATAACTTGTCTATTGCTTGGAATTATTGAGTTATCTTAGAATCAATGATCAATAAAGAGAATTTTATACTCAAAATTGCCTTTGACTGAATTCACTTTCTATTGATTTAAACTTATCACTTTTATTGTATTCTTTACTTATTTTAATTAATTTTGTTTGTTTTATTCTCTACTACAATCCCTCCTTTTTATTTTTATTTATTTAAATTTCTAGTTATTGAAAGAATTAATCAAAATTGGTCCCTAGGGACCCTTCTCACCCTATCTATAAATACTTTAGATTAAGAAGAGTATGGATTATTTTTAATGGCTTCGACAACCGTCATTCTTAATTAGGAATGAAAATTTTTTTAATTCAATAAGTAATTAATGTTATCTTAATAATCTATTATAAGGAATAAAGGTTAATATGGCCCCATAACTTGTTTAGTAGATCAAAAATGTCAAATTTAACTTTTTAGGCTAATTTAACCCCTAAACTTGTTTAAAATGATTAAAAAATATCATATTTGACCTTTTAGTTAAATTTAACCCTTGAACTTATTTTAGTTTTTACAAATTAATGAATTGATTCAATTTAAAAGGAAACCGAATCTAAGAATGACCACGGTTTGGTTTCAAATCGAAACCGAACTTGTCAAAATTGTCACTAAACCGTACTTAACGGTTCTGGTTTCAAACCCTAACTGAAACCACGCACTTAAGGTTCAGTTTCAATTTTTCATTTTTTAAAACTGAAACAGGCTGTCCCGGTTTGACACTGTGAAAAACATGTTCTTAAATTATTTTTTTATTTTATTATAATTTTTTAACATAACTTTTAAGAATTGTTATTAAAATGGGTTAGTTTTTTTTTTAATAGGTGATTATTGTTATTATTTATTCAAGCTACAAACCTAAAAAAAAATTTTAAAAAGTTTAAAATATATTATTTAATTTATGTTCAAAACCGGAATAAAATCAAAATCGGCAGTTCCAAAACCGTCTTAAAAACCGTTTAAAATCGGAACTGGCCAGTTTGAAACTGTGGTCATGTCTATCAAGATCAAACTTACTGTTCAACGTAAAAAATACATGGATTTCATATGCAATAATCCTATAATACAGGTTAAGTTTAAAATGTTCAAATTAATACATAAAACTCAAAATCATCGATCAAGGTAAAGAGGGATATAATATACTTCATATATCAGTTTACTCTATTCTATATTTAAATAATCTTTAAATAAATTATACATCCCAATTTCAATTATAATTTTAATAAATGTCTATCTATATAAAGATTTTCACATTATAAGTATAGTGAATAATTATGGACTAAAAGGTCAAATTTGACCTTTTCAATTATTTTGAATAAGTGGATGGGTTAATTAACATAGAAGGTCAAATTGAACTTTTTAATCCTAGTAAATAAATTCAGAGGTCAAATTTGCATTTATTCTATTATAATTATAATAAAGATAGTAATTTCTTATTATCACTGAAAGGAAGATTTATAATATTATAATATAAAAATAAATAAAAATTAATCAAATAACGAATATGTACAATGAATATTAACAACTTGCAATGCACTATAAAAAAAAAAATAGTAAATATAAGAATTAGAACCGATAGAAATAATTTACTAAACTCCATTTCTATCATGAACATCTATAGGAACTAATGGCTGGCGTTTTCATGATATCAAGGTGCTCCCCTTTATTTGAATACTCACCTACGCTTTGATTGTTATTATATATATATGTATGGAACTTTTCTTTTTCTAAAATTTTTGCAGCATGAATCTCATTTTAGGTAGATCTTTTTCTGTTGAGTCATATTACATACGTACTTTTTTATTTGAGCAGGTACAGCCTGTTAATAAGATAACCCTGAAGCAGAACGTAAAAGTAAAAGTTCTTAAGCTTTGGCTTCTCTCCATTGGAGCATTTCACTAGTCAACCCCAACAACAAGCTTCTTCATTTCTTAAATTAAGGTGATTTTGGTAGGGTTACTACAGTAATTTCAGTAGTTCTTTTTCTTCAAATATAAACTTTACCCTTCCTCCAAAATTCCATGTAAGCAGACTCTGTGTTGTCAAGAGAAGACTCCACACATGCTTACTTGTAGTTAGAACTGTTAAATATAGACTCTAAAATTAAGCTAAACCAAAAATAATAAAATGTCTCTAAAATTAAAAAATTCTTTATTTGGAAAGGAAAAAAAGAATTATTACTGCAAGTAATTAAAATTTGGAAAAGCACCAAAACTGGCTATAAAACACCATGTTTCTCTCTCTATCTATTGCCTTCCTCTTTCACACAAAAACACATACACATTGCACTTCTCTCTCTTTTCTCTCTCTCTCTCTTCCTCTGCCTCAAGACTATTCTGTCTCTGTTTCTTTTCTGTTTCGTCTTGCAAGAAAAAGAAACAGAATTATTGCTTGGGTCAGATTGTGGGAGAAGAGGCTCCGAAAGAGTGGAAAAGTTCAGATTTTTTTTTTTTTTCTGGTGCTTTCCTTTCCTGTTGAAAACAGAAAGAAAATGCTGAGACTTTGATTGGGTTTTTTTTTTCTTATTTTCCTCTTTAATATTGGATTTGGTACCAGTTATATACAAACTCAATCTCATCCGCATTGTTAAATATTCAAAACCCGTATCACAATCAGATCTATTTCTCTTATTGTTGTACTTCCCTTGTTTTGTTTCGTACTGTAATTAACATATTTGTCACCTTATCCCCTGTTTCGCTCTGTTTTTGCTCTGTTCTTAGAGAAAAACAGAGATGGCGGAGGATTCACCAAAATTTATAATTCCAGAATCATTTCAAATTTCAAGAGATGATTTTGGAGCTCAAATTGGACTCATATGGGAGTTGATAAAAACCCCATTGATAGTTCCTCTGTTGACACTCGGTGTTTATGTTTGCTTGGCCATGTCACTTATGCTTTTCATGGAAAGGCTTTATATGGGTATTGTTATAATCCTTGTTAAGCTTTTCTGGAAGAAACCAGAAAAACGTTACAAGTGGGAACCTATACAAGATGATTTGGAATCTGGCAATTCGAATTTCCCTGCCGTGCTTGTTCAAATTCCAATGTTCAATGAAAGAGAGGTCTCTTCTCTTTCTCTCTCTCTTGCTCTGTTTGATATTATGTCTTTGGTCGGTGTGTTCTGCTTTGGGTTTTATACTTCTGAGTTTATTTTGCATAAGAGTTACTCTCAAAAAGTTGGATGCTTCTTGAAATTTTTATAGTTTTTGTACCTATTATGTGGCTTTGTGACAGGTTTACAGGCTATCAATTCTTATTAGTTTGGTTTTGTGACAGGTTTACAAGCTATCAACTCTTATTAGTTTGGTTTTGTGACAGGTTTACAAGCTGTCAATTGGAGCAGCATCTAATCTTTCTTGGCCAGCAGATCGTTTAGTGATCCAAGTTCTTGATGATTCAACCGACCAAGAAATCAAGGTAAAAACTCTACCTGTTTTGCTTCTAATGAACTCATTTAGAGCAATTATTATGTTATGTAATCTTGGTGGGTCCAATTATTATGTTGTGTAATCTTGGTGGTTGGTTATAATTAAAAAGAAAAAATGATTCAGAAAAGCTTTTTTTATCTGGGTATTTTTTGGTGTGGGCAGAAAATGGTGGAGCTAGAATGCCAGAGATGGGCAAGCAAAGGAGTAAATATTGTATACCAAATAAGAGAAACTAGAGGAGGCTATAAAGCCGGTGCTTTAAAAGAAGGCTTAAAGAGAAGTTATGTTAAACACTGTGAATACGTTGTTATCTTTGATGCTGATTTCCAGCCTGAGCCTGACTTTCTCAGACGTGCCATTCCTTTCTTGGTCCACAATCCTGACATTGCTCTCGTTCAAGCTCGCTGGAGATTTGGTATGCTCTAAATTTACACTTCTTATTACAATTATAATTAGGTTAAACCATTTCCATTAAGGATTTAAATCATAATAAGAACCGGTTTGATTTGCTGATGTCGTAATTCATAATCGAAATAATATTTTTTTTACGGTGTAATTTGATTATAGTGTAAATATTAGACTATATTATTAATTTAGATAAAACCCTTTTTAAGCCCTAGATGTTAGATAATTAGGGGGTCATTAGTAAAATGAGTGGAAACGTGAGTATTTTATTTTGATATAAAGAAAAAAAAAAAAAGAAAAAAAGAATTAAGGAGTGTCGGTGGTCTTTGCATTCTTTTTTTTTTTTTTTTCCCTTTTTTGGCAAGCAAAAGACTATTCCTTCTATCACTAGTAGTAGTTTATCTAGTCTGCCGCAGTTTTAACTTGCATGGAACAGAGGTTGTGGTGGGTCCACTTAAAACCCACCAATCACGGGGATGGTGGTCACTTTTGCCCTGACTTGCTTTGCAACCTATGACTGTGACGTCTGGTTATCTATTGACCATACATCACGTTTGTCATGGGTTCAACTTGGGCAAAATAGTAAATTGCTGGAAAGAATAACATACACTCTTACCTACTGTAGCAACTGCCCACAAACATAATGTGATTAGTTGAGGGTGGAATTTATGATTCCTAAACCTCAAATTTGTCCATTTTTAACCTCTTAATTAATTAAATATTCAATTCCATAATTAGCTCCAACTTCCCTTCATTCCATCAATTATTTTTCTTTTCTCACCTACTTATGTAAACAAGATTTAATAATTTAAATTTTAGAGATTTTTTTTTAAATTTTAGAGATAAAGGGTATACATTCCATTTCTAGGGATCTATTATAAATTTACTAAATATAAATATTTTTAAATAATTTATGAATTATTAATTACAAACAAATATTGAATTATATAAATAACCTAAAAGAGTTACAGAAAGTCTGGGGCGTTTTTGTCATTTCCCGGCAAGAAAATAAGAACTGGAGTTCTTGTCCCGTGTTCCTCTGTCTGTGTATGTAAAGCACATGGACATGGCCAACCACTTTCCTTAAAGGATTAATTGGAGAACATGACAAAGTTTTAGGGGTAAATTTGTCATTCAAAACCTTCTAGTATCAGCAGTTAACTCCACTTCTGGGTCACGTGCTGCTTTTACATGGCTTTTCGATGTAGGGAAGCCACATCAGACGGTGGGACCATACCCGAACTGCCGACACTTCGATTTGGTACTTTTATTAGTACGTAAAATAATTTATAAATACTTATAAACAATTAAAAATAAATTGAAAATTAAATTAATTTCAAAGTCCGTTGCACCGGATAAGAAAGGCATCACTCGTGCTCTCTTTGACGTGGCCATATCTAACTACAAAACGTGAACAGTTTTTTTTTTTAAATATATCTAACTACAAAACGTGAAAACATTTTTTTTTTTAAATATATATATATAATTATATATATATATATATATATATATAAAGGACAAATATTTTTTTTACTTTTATTTTCCTTAATTAATCTTAATTATTTACTATTAATAACGCAAATAAATTACATTATGCTAATAATCTTTAACATCAAATATAGGTATGAAATTCTGAAATTTTATTTTGCACCTTAATTTATTATGCATATAATTTTCATATGTGATTAATTAATTATTCTGATTATATTATTATTAGATAAAATACTAATATAATTATTTGAAACAATTTTTGCAGTGAATGCAGATGAGTGTTTGTTGACAAGAATGCAAGAAATGTCATTAGATTACCATTTTACAGTGGAGCAAGAAGTTGGATCAGCAACTCATGCATTCTTTGGTTTCAATGGTAATTAATTAAGATAATGTCATTTTTAATTTTAATTAAATTACCCTTTTCTTATTTCACTTTGTTTTTAAATTTTTAATTATCAACTAGGTTAATGTAATTTGCATTGCTTAACTAAATTGTTCATGCTTATTTTATTTACTACCTACTATTCATTTTCTTCAAAAGGTCAAAATCAATATTGTTGTCAATTGTTTTCTTCCTCCCATAAATAACAAAACTGTGAAAAATTTGACTTTATCAGCCAACAGATAGCATGTGCTGTTTTTGTATTCTTCTGTAGTAAATCCTGATAAGTTTTTTAATAATATTAAAATAAAATGTGATTTGCAGGTACTGCTGGGGTATGGAGAATTGCGGCCATTAACGAGGCTGGTGGATGGAAGGACAGAACCACTGTAGAAGACATGGATCTTGCTGTTCGAGCTAGTCTTAGAGGATGGAAATTTGTTTATCTTGGTGACCTACATGTATATAATTAAATAATTTTCCAATTTTTTAATATGGCTAATTGCAGTGATTAAAATATAATTTGTTACACATATTAATAAAATTTAGTTTTGATAGGTGAAAAGTGAACTTCCTAGTACTTTCAAGGCCTTCAGGTTTCAGCAGCATAGGTGGTCTTGTGGTCCTGCTAATCTGTTCAGGAAAATGGTTATGGAAATAGTTAGAAATAAGGTAAGTTCATTTTTTTTCTTTTGAAAAAGATAAATTCTTGACTCTTTTTTTTTTTCTAATTAATGTTTATTTGAACATTTCAGAAAGTGAGATTCTGGAAAAAGGTTTATGTGATCTATAGTTTCTTCTTCGTTCGCAAGATCATTGCTCATATGGTGACATTTTGGTTCTACTGTGTTGTTCTTCCACTAACCATTTTGGTTCCTGAAGTTAAAGTTCCAATTTGGGGAGCTGTTTATATTCCTTCAATTATTACCATTTTAAATTCAGTAGGAACTCCAAGGTATGCTCATTTCTTTCGTTTTACCTTATTTTTCAATTTTCCTGATGTTGCAGAAACTGTACTAAAAAATCATATGTTCTTGATTTTTTCAGGTCAATTCATTTACTGTTCTATTGGATTCTCTTCGAGAATGTGATGTCTTTGCATCGAACAAAAGCAACACTCATTGGTCTGCTAGAAGCAGGAAGAGCTAATGAATGGGTTGTTACTGAAAAACTGGGAAATACACTTCAAAAAAATGCAGAAGCCAAGAAAAATAATCTTAAACCGCCAAGAAAACTCCGATTCAAATTCGGTGACAGGTACAAAACATTCTTCAACATTTCTATAATCTTATTTGAATAAACACTTCTATATTTTATTTTGACCTACCACACATTTTATAAATGAGTAAGTTTATCCAAATTATTTTTATTTATGTCAGTTTCTGAATAGTGGAGTAAATGAACAAACTAACAAATCCAAATATCAGCAATAATGTTTGTCATTATAACCAAATCCCACTTAGCCCAATTGAATGCTTTTGAGTTCTTTATAATATTAATTGAGAATCTTTTATATGTATTTGTATATAATTAACAAGATGGGAAGAACTTATTGTCTTGGCAGATTTGTTTCTGGTTTTAGTTGCAAGAATCAGACAAGAGTGTTGCCTTACCTAACTGCAGATTTTACAATAATGTTAATAGATAAGACAATAAATATGTTTTAAGATTCTATTCATTTAGAAATATTATACCATAATCTATGTAAACAATAATTAAACGCCATATCCAATAATACTTGGTAAGATTAAGATTCCAACTTTTGTATTCTTAAATTAATAGTTGAAGTGATTCTAAGACAGCTGTCTTTGTTTAAATACATATTATTTGGATTCTTTTAACATGTATTTTTGTTTTTATTGTTGTCTTCTTCACAGGCTTAACACATTGGAGTTGGGGTTTGCAGCATTTCTTTTCTTGTGTGGATGTTATGATTTTGTTAATGGCAAGAACAACTACTTTGTATACCTCTTCCTTCAAACAATCACTTTCTTTATCACCGGAATCGGATATGTCGGCACCATCATTCCTAGCTCTTAGTCTTAGCAGCAGCAGAAGAAGTGGCTTCTGACACGGAAAAATCCGCGTGAAGCCCTTTATTGTTCTTCTCATGTTGTGTCTATGTTTTTCTCCCCTGCAACACAATTTATAAGTGGGGAACTATCAGAAATGATTGATTTGAGTTCACTTAAGAAAAAAAATGTCATTCCATATGCTTTGCTAGAAAACTAGGAAAGTCATAGTCATGACTTCTTTAGAGACAAAAAAAAAAAAAAAAAAAGTCATGACTTGCTTTAAAAAAAAAAAAAAAAAAAAAATACTAGAAGAGAAAAAACGCCGTTATTTTGCATATAGAGTTACAAAGAAGCCTGCAAAAAACAGCGTATGTTTTAGGCAACAATAATGTTATAGTTTCATTTAAATAGATTGCTTGTAATTGTGAGACTTTTTTTTTATTATTATTGTTCTTTTTGTTTATTTTGGGTCTCCAATTGTTAGTTTTCCATAGTTTCAGCAGAACAAGCTGATGAATTGTAATAGTGTATTTGTAATCATAGTTAATTTATTAAATCTACCTTTGTGTTTCTTGTTTCTTGGATTGTATTACTAATTTTAAATCTTGAACAACTATGCAAATTATATGATTCACATAAAACTATGCAAATTATCAATAAAGAATTGGCAATCTCAATCCTTGTAAGGGCGAGAATATAAGTTCGATCTCCAAAAAAATGTATTTTACTCAGAGGGCCAAAAACTTTTACGTTCTAATGTATGAAGGGATTATACTCCTTGTTATATCAAAACTATGCAAAGCCCTATCAAAATTCTTTTTTTTTTTTTTTTTAAATTGCCAAATTATAAAATTGAACTTGGTATTAGATGCTCCAATCCTTTGCATTACATATATTTTATTCTTCGAATCATTGAATGAGAACATGAGCTCTAATTAACAAGCCTAACCAGCCTTGTAAGGCAAGTGTCTAGCCTAATTAATTGTTATACACACCATCATTTCTAAATTCTAATCCTTGTTTTGCAAATGCTTTAGAAATTAAGGCATTGGAAGACATCCTTATGGTCACTTTTCATGCTTGTCCCAATCATTTGTAACCTTTGAAATGAATAATGACTTGTAATGCTATCTAATTTGGAGTCATATTTCATTGCTTTTATATTCTAAGGCACTTATGTTTTGCTACCCTTTAGCATCACAAGGACAACCTTTGTATTAAGGAATAAACTTTTTTAAAATTAGAATTGTAAAAAAGATGCTCTAAGTCTAGATTTCTTCAAGTAGAAGTCTCAATTATATTTGGTAACCTTTTTACACTTTTTTTTTAAAATTTATTAGAGGCTTTGAAAGGCCGAAATAACAGGGGTGGCTCTCCTCATGGCTCATCAAATTAGTAAAAATAACTATGGTCGAGAGGACTCAAACTAGAACTCGAGACTTCTCACTCCTCATATAAATGAAAAGACTATTCAAACTACCACCTTATCGGTAAACTTTTACGCTTTAACCAGAGATAAAGAAAGAGAGTCACATCATAAATTAAATTTAGAATTGAGCAAAAGTTAAAATATGTAACCACACTCCCTATATATTATACTCTATACAACTAAACTATAGATTGCTTGAGAGCTTTAGGAAGGTCAACAATGTTTCTTTTCTTTTTAAATTAATTTTCTTGGGACTCGTAACAATAACTAGCTAGCTTCTTAAATAATATTAGAATATTAAAATCAAGCCATAGATTATGGAAACTTCTAAAGCAACTTCTTCTTATTGGTTTGGCATGTGAAATTGATGAAAACATTGTGCTCTTCATACTAATTGCCATTCATCATCTCCACATTTTCAGGGCCTATTTGTCCTGTTATATATTTTTGATTTTGAAGCACTCACCAGCATAATCTAAGTGTAAATCAGAATTTTTTTTTTATATCAAAGTTTTAAAAAATTTAATAATCCTACCCATTTTAAATTCATTTAACTAACATCCAAATATATTTTAAACCAATTGAGCTAGATTGGGTATTGAAAAAATTCACCCTGCTTTCATCCCTAACCTCTATGCTTTGAAATTGATACAATTTTTTTTTTAATTTCTAAATATTCGGATCTATTCAGTAGAATTAATTGTTTGGTAGCTATTAATTATTTTAATAGCGTTTAGCTATGTAAGTAATGTTTCATAAAATGCTAAAAGCTAAATGTTAAAGGGAATAACCTTTTATAAAACGTTACTCTAATTTTTAAAAACTAATTCAAATGTTATGTTACTGAACACTATAAAAAAATAATATGTATAATTTTAACTAATCAAAATACTAAAAATTACTTAAAAAAACTGCCGTGCAAAACACAACATGTAGAAGTACATTGTGCATGACCATTACTCCATTATATTATGTGGAGCCCATCCCATACTCCAGCTGGCCATAGTAAACCACATTCTCAAATTATTGTGCCTTGTACAGAATATACCAAATCTTGTGTGTTTAAGATCTTGATATATGAATATGATTTATTTATATTTTCAACCACTCTTTTTCAAAATAAATAAATAAATATGTCTACCAATCAATAATGTTTTAAATTAAGGTGGTGTTCGGCATCAAATGTTTTAGTAGTTTTTAATGTTTTGACTAAACACAATTTTTTTATAGTGTTCGGTAACATAGTGTTTAAACTAGTTTTTAAAATTTAATTTAGAATTTTATAAAAAGTTGATCCATATAACGTTTAGTTTTTACTATTTTATGAAAAGCTAACAAAACAACTAATAACTAAATGCTATTAAAATAACTAACAGCTAAGGGAAAAAAAAAAAAGCTAATTTTATCGAACACACCCTAAGTTACTTGTAGGTTAGCCAATTAAATTAATTTGACTTAACTATGTTTCTTTGTTTTGATAAATATGTAGGAAGCAAATTTTGTTTGGTTGCATTAATAGATGTTTGCAATTATTGTTGGAAAGGAGTAAAGACTTGATTAAGACAAGAGAGACTTGTCTTTGTGTTGCCACTCCTCAAACAGAAACAGCCCTTTGTAAGGACCCCAAACAATTTCTATGGTTACTATAAAAAGGTCTGATAAGAGACAATTGCCATTAATCTTTGAATGGCAGACATCCATTTTCTGGCAGGGACAAAGAAAAAAAATATACAAAGAAAAGCCTTAAAAAGTAACTAGTGATTGCTTCATGACTTTAATATATAAAAGGTGAAATATGGATCCCTATGTAGGTGAAGTTATTAGGAATTTTTTCAACAGTTTGTGATAGTTTTTTTTTTTTTTTTCCTTTTGGTATTAACAGAAGGTTTAATCCTCTAGGTATTAAGTAAAAGATTTAATTCTCTCAAGTTATAGAGTTATAGAGCGGAAAAAAAATTTTTAATCATCTCAATAAAGTGCGCTTCTGAAGAATGAATTTGTATTCTCGCCCAAAGATAGTCTAATATATTTTTATTCAGGATATACATTTATTTATATTAAGTATTGTTTCTTGACAAGGCTGCATTTCATAGTTCTAGTTTGTCTTTTATATTTAGAAATTACTTACTAAAATTTCATATTTTGTTTTATAAATTGAAATAAAATAATAATGTAATATAACTGATTATATATTTAATTATATTATATTTCATTATTAATCCAAAATGTAATTTTAAATTATTTAAACTTAAACAATAATGTGAAATCAACTCCCATTGTTGTTAGAAAGGAAAACTCTCATCTTTTTTTTTTTTTTCCTCTTTTTTTTTGCCCTTTTTGCAGAGAAAGACAGCCTTGAGGTTGTGCACGTTATGGCCTTGAAAAGCACATCTAAAAAAAGGCACATGCTTTGTGATATTTTTTCCTGCGCTGGAGTTAACTTGTCATTGTTGTTGCTCATTAATACTAGAATTCATGCATGGACCAGTTTATCTTTTATTATTATTTTTTAAAAAAATTTAAATAACTCTACATAAAAAATATATTTTCTATTTCTTTATAAATACCTCATTATTGAAATGAATCCAGGCATTATATTATTGAAGAATGGGATTGGAGAACGGAAAAAAACATATGAACTTATTGGAGATGGAGAGATAAGATAGGATTCACAAACCTATTATTATCTGAATGAATTATTCTTGACAAAATAAAAAGTCCATAATTAAGAAATGGTTGGATGAATTATCAAGAAATGATTAGAGTAAGCAGAGTGAACTGTGTCGAACTTTACTTATATATTTTAAATATTATATTATTCTCGATTTAAAGTTCAACCATAAAAATATGCGTCCAAAAACCGAAACAAAAAGAGAAAATTAAATAAAACTTATATTTATTATTCTCAGTTTAAAGTTCAACCATAAAAATATGCCTCCAAAATTATAAAAAAAAAAAAAAAAAAAAACTGAACAAAAATAAAAGTCCATAAATTTAAGAAAAAATGGTTTGGATGAAATTATCAAAAAATGAATTAGAAGGTAAGCAGAGTGAACTGTGTCGAACTTTACTATAATATTTTAAATATATTATTATTCCTCGATTTTAAAGTTCAACCATAAAAATATGCCGTCCAAAAAAACCGAAACAAAAAAAGAGAAAATTAAATAAAACTTATATTTATATATTCTCAGTTTTAAGTTCACCAATAAAAATATGCCTCCCCAAAATTATAAAAAAAAAAAAAAAAAAAAAAAAGTGAAAGAGAGAAAATTAAATAAAATTAAAAAAAAAAAAAAAAAAAAAAGTGAGAGAGAAAATTAAATAAAAGTTATATTTATTATAGCATTGGGCTTGTAGTAGCTATACATGAAGTTCCAAATCTTACCATATATAGTATGATAGGTAGACATACTAAAAATCTTAAGGAAAGATTATGAGGTAGTCTCTATTAAGGAAAGAGAAAAGTATGGAAGGCACTGACACTACTCAGAAGTGTCATGTGATGTGGGGTTCCTTAAGGAATACAAAATCACATGTTCTAAATAAAATAAAATTAATTAATTGAAAATGGTCCACTTTTATCAGAGCCGACACCGAAAATACTGACAATCCACATGCAAATTTCCGTTTTATTTCGTACCAGGAAAATTCTTTGAATCAATACTCCTTAAAAAATTGTCAATTACGCGTGATTTAATTGATTTTTTCACTAATACAAATAATAAAAAGTTTCGAGTTTGAATTTTTTTGATTTCGAGTGTTTTCGCTAATTTAATGAGTCCAATAGAGGGGAAGACTACCTATGTTGTACAGTCTGCATTGTTACTTCAGTCC